CGCGGGGAACGCGCGCAGAAATACCCCCCCCCCACCCCCCCCCCCCCCACCCACACACACACACACACACACACACACACACACACACACACACACACACACACACATTCTCTCCATTCCTGCTTTAACCCTTTCCTGCCTCTGCAGCCCTCAGGACCACTCTGGTGTTTCAGTGGGAGCGACCCGGTTCTCCGGATGGTTCCTGGAATGTAAAAGCTGCAGAACACAAAGTCCTGTAGGCACAGCTAGCACCTTCAAACTAGCGCTTTAAGCTAGCGTCTTTAAACTAGCACCTTCAAACTAGCGCTTTAAGCTAGCCTCTTTAAGCTAGCATCTTTAAACTAACGCTTTAAGCTAGCATCTTTAAGCTAGCATCTTTAAACTAGCGCTTTAAGCTAGCATCTTTAAGCTAGCATCTTTAAACTAGCGCTTTAAGCTAACATCTCTGAGCTAACTGTTTTTAAAAAAGATCCACAATCTGTTTAAATCGCAGCAAAAGAAAAATAAGTGGAAGTCAGAGAGCGAACCAACAATATATGTTTAGAATAAAGACTGTTATAAAATGTTTATTTTTTCTAAAATGGAAACATTTCAATCACTTCACTTTATTTAAAATTAAGTTTTTAAGGGACAGAAAACTTTTTTTTAATAAAAAATGAGCTAAAGAGTGAAAACATCTCATTATAACTGATGTTCATTCATATTCAGTAAATCAGAATAAATGTCCTGATTATGGCGCCACCTGTAGGTGGACCCCGGTAATAATGACAATTGTAAACAAATACAGGGATTTTAAACGATGTTTATACGTTGTCATAGTGACTGCCAAATGACGTAAACCTTTCAGCTTTTTTATTGACTTTTTGTTCATTATTTGGGAGTTTAAATCAAATCCAAGGAATCTGGGAGAGAAATGGTCTCATTTAGCCAGAAATCAGTCAAATCTATTCAGAAAAATTTAATATTTCCATCTCTGTATAAAACCGTTTGATGTTTGTCTACATTCCTTTCTACTTCTCTTATTAAAACTTTTAATAAAATGTTTTCACCGCCTCATTTCGCTGCCGTTGTAGGAAAAGTTTCTCTTCTCCAGACGTTTTTCCTCGCTGCCGTTAGTGAAGCTGCTGCTTACGCAGAACCGAGCCGCTTTCACCAAAATAACCTTTTCTCTTTTTTTAAGTTTAAGTTTTTAGAGCCAAACATTTCCGAGAAACTGGAGCAGAGACACTGTGGAGGTGTCTGCAGAAACTGGAATGTTGGATGAGATTTCCATGGCTGTTCCAGATTATTCCAGATAATCCATCACAATAAAACTTCAGATTCAACATCAACCAGTCGAGCAGGAAGAGTCTGATTGGATTTTACCTTCTGGGTCGAATTGGTTCTGACGTTTATGAGCAAAGGCTGATCGGTTCATTGATCAGTGATCGGTTTCACCTCTGCTTTGTACATCCTGATCAGGCCCTGGTTGACTTTGGACCAGGACGGGACGGCGCTGATGTTCCACAGCTGGTTGGAGTGCTCAGCAAACGGACCCGTCTTCATCTGCAGAGCAAAGATGATCAGAAATGATCCGTCAGAACAAACTCAGGTCGTTAAAAACGTTAAATAAAAGTTTAAATGAAGAAACGACACAAGAAACACAGAATGGAGAATTTTAACCTTTAAGAAATTAAAAACAAACAGAAAGTAACGATTCAGAGCCCAGCTAAATCATTAACTGGTTAGCTTAGCATGCTAATGCTAACAAACACAACATATTGAGTTGGATCAGTTAGCTGGCTGCTTATTGTGACCCTGTTCCTACTTAGAAACATTTAATATGTTGGCTGAATAAATGTGGTATTCAACTTTTAACTGTTGTTTCAAAATATCACATTCGTTCCTGCTTCAACACATTAAAGTTGATTTAATGCAAATGATTGATCATTTCCTGTCATTTCTGTGAAATTTCCTAAAATAAATCAGATTGTTGTGTTTTTGATGAAACCAAGACGTTAGAAATCCATCAGACTGAAATTAAGTGTTTTATTTCCTCTATAAACTCTCTGAGGAGAAAATTAATTAAATTCAACTGAACTGAAAACATCTAGAATTTACTGAAATGGTGTTTTGGGTTCTCTACTCAGTTTTTAGCATTTTTCATAGAACAATCTACCAATAATAATAATAATAACAACAATATTAATGATTCATTTCATTTCACAGACACTTCACAACCAAACACCAACATTATTTTTCTAGTTATCTGATCTATGAGGAAAAGCCTCAAATGTTTCTGATTATTTCAGATTCACTTTATTTTGGTGAATTAACAACAAAACTAAACAAATTGAAACTTTGTCTCTGAATGAAAAAAATGGTCAAAATCTGAATAAATTCTGGATAAAATCAATAATTAATCAGAACCAAACGGTTCCTGCTCAGCGACTTTAAGTCTCTGAGCGTCTGACTGCGACGGCAGAGCAACCGAGTCCAGACCCCGGAGCGCCAACCTCAGAAGAAAACCTCGTTTCTCCGCCCAGCGGAGCGCCGCTGCAGACGCTTTGCAGGGCCTCGCATGAGAAGACGGGGG